CCATTTCTCTATACACAATACCGATGTTGTTATGGGTGTTAGCCAAATTAAGATGATTGGTGGGAACTGTTTTCTGATCGATAGCTAGTGATTTTTCATAGTATGTAAGTGCTTCTTGATATTCTCCTTGATCATATTTGATTGTACCTAATTGATGATAAATAGGTGACTTGTCACTCACATTCGTTGTTTGATGAAGTAAAACTTCATAAACTTCTTGAGCCTTGTCAGCCTGACCCATTTTAATTAGCAAAAACCCTAATCTGAACCATCCTTCAACATCCGGACGGCTCTCTTGTCGTATACTATCAGTAAGAGTACGAAGATCTTGGTCATTATCATTGGTCAATGTTAAATTCACTTCATAAAGATGATTATTTCCATCCATTGGTTTTATATCTCCAATACGAAAAATGGTATGCATAGAAAAGAGAACTTCATCTTCTGTATGAAAATAACTAACATCGCTAACAGAAGCAAATGGAGTTGTTGAATGAGTAGGATTAATGGACATAACAAATAGAATTCCAACTAGACCAGGATTTGTAGTAGCTTGTTGTACAAAATTGAGAGAAATATTACGATTTTTACTAGTTGATAAAAAGTTATTGAATGAAAGAAGTCCACCTTTAGTTTTTGTCATTTCGGTGAAATCTTCTTTTGAAAGACCTTGTCCACGGTAAACTGTAAATGTTGTACCTGATTGATGACCATCAAACTGTTCCGAATGTAGTCGTTGAATATCACGATGTAGATCATTAATAAAGAAACCCATTCGAACAATAATATCAACATCTATTGATCTTAATGCACAATTAAGCATACGGTATAAAAATGCATCCCATGTATACCACCATATAGGTATGTGGTTTTTGCATGTTGTTTGTAACTGATTAACATTTTTTAATTCATTTTCATCACCATCATATACGTCACGACACTAAGTGATAAATTCTTTGAAATGTTTATCCTCGAAGTCGATAGTTAATAAGATCTCTTTCAAGATCTGAGTATACATAAAGGTTGGATCTAATTGATCCAATTTCTTGTTTGATGTCATAAAGCTGATTGAGATGGCATTTTGTTCACATTGTTGCGCAGCTTGCTTGAGAGCTTCACAGATTGATGTTATATCTGTGAAGACACCTTTTATTTTAGGCCATTCTTTGGCCCATTGTTTATGCCATTCTTGATTGTTACAAAAAATGAAAATGGTATCTACTTGAGACAGATCATGCACATGAGGCACAATATGTTTTCCAAATGAACCAGAAACAATCATACACACTTTGTTGTTGTTAATTGTTTGAATAAATTCGACACATTCTTCACCATCTGTAAACGTGTTTATGTTGTTAACCACACGTTTTAATTGTTTGATTGTATTGCTACAATCAGCATTATTTTCATTAATATTGTTGTCCAACCAAATAAGGAGGACATTTTGTATTCTTTGCATGATCATTTGTCGATTTACAGTTGCACGTGTGGAGATCCCAGATGTTGGGTGAACGTTTTTTGTGTCATTTGTTTTGCTAGTTGCCATTGACTGATTATTTGTTATCTGTAATATAAATATGATGCATTTGAGTAGTTTAAAAAAATTTGTGAATGAAAGAGTTATGAAAGCTGCTCATTTTATAGTGTCTCTACTTCGTATCGAGATTTGTTTTTCTATTTTGTTGAATTGGACAACAACGCCTTTTTCAGTAACTATTGTAGATGTTGTTATGAAAAACAAACGAACGTCAACAGAAACATTCCTTAGTAATAAGCAGAGAACGAAAAAGAAATGGTTAAATATTTTTGCGATTGCCAGTCACTAAAATAATCCGCGAAAAGAAATTTTACTATGTATTTTGATGAAGCAAAAAAAAATAATCTCCAAGAAATTTCTTTTTCTTTCTGTTCTCATGTTTGATGTTGTTGAGGACTCGAACGTTGGCAATAATTATTTTGTCGAAGACATTATAATTTATTAAAATCGACAAAATAATGCCATTCAAACGCAAATCACTTACATTCCTTTATTTCTATGGTTCAATAGATGAAATATGAAGAAAACTTTTTGAATTAGTTGCTTTTTCTCGCTGTTTTAAATTCTGTTTTTTTCTACTTAGCAACAACCTATGAAATGTTATGTAATACTGTATAAAAACGTTAAAAAGAGATCATTGTAAACAAAACTCGCGGATGGATACAATATAGGATGCTTCGCATCTTAAAAATACGAAAATGACTACATAAATACTTTGCTTCGCATCTTATTAAATATATTGTAAAGATTTATCTATATGATCAGTCATTGATTTATGCGAGATAACACGTCGGATAATGCATTACGAAGTACGAGCAGAAGTTGATTGAAATAGTTAAATAAATTTCTTATCTTCCATCAGTAAAAATCTAATAATCAGACAAGAATTGATTACTTATTTAAATTTTTATATGCTCCAATATATTGAGTTTCACATAATATACAAATATCATGTACATTATTTTTATTAAATAGAACACGAAATTTTCCAGCATTGATCAATAATACTACTATCGATTACTTTGCTCGTTGGCCACAACAAGCTTTGTAAGCTACTTTTCTTTTTTTCTAAATTAATCATTAATTTTCCAATTATACGAAACAATTATATAGATATGCTGTTGCTGAACACTTCATATCTGATTTTAAATTGATAACAAATGAATTTAAAAATAATATTATTGAACATATGATTATGGTTCATGAATCTGCTAATTTCTATTGTGATCTATATACTGAAAAAATGCATCGTAGTGCTTATGCTACACCAAAAAATTATCTAGATTTTATTCATACATTTATTCAATTGTATAAACAAAAGAAAGATGATTTATTAAAACAAGCTGAACGATTAAATGTTGGAATCATTCGAATTGATGAAGCTAGTATACTTATACAAGAAATGGATAGAAAATTAGAAAAACAACGTAAAGAACTTGGTTAGTATAGAATCGAAATTATTTTATTTACATAATATTCTATTTTTATAGCAATAAAAACACAAAAATGTGATGATTTATTATCCGAAATAACTATTCTAACTGCTAAACAAACCGAACGTAAAAGTCGAGTAAGTATAAAAATATCTTTGAATAAAAAAAAGGTTCTTTTTCTTTAGGCATTAGAAAAAAAGCAAATAGTTGATGAACAATTAATAATTATAGAAAAAGAAAAACATGAAGCTGAATCACAATTACAAGAAACAATGCCAGCATTACTCGAAGCTCAACAAGGTCTTGATACACTCAAAGCAACTGATATAACTGAAATGCGTAGTTTTGCAAATCCAGTTGATACATTAAGATTAATCGGTTATTGTATGTTGATTTATTTGGGTCATCCATCAATTACTTGGAAAGATGTAATAGTCAATTTTTATTTATTTAAGTCGAATGAACGTTCAGATATTTTCTTCCTCACTTATGTATTGGTTTTTAAACAGTGATAAGCATATTGAGTGAATATACATGAGGTTTTGAGCAGTACCTAGAGATTTATAGTATACCGATAGTACAACATTGCTAGTGTCAATTTTTGTTTGTTTTTCCAATAGGTTCGAGGTGTAATGGCTGATATGAAATTTATAACAAATTTAAAAACTCGTGATCCGGATTTATTTACCTCGAAACAAGCAGTACAATTAAAAATTTATTTGAAAAAATTAGAAGAAAAACTTGATCCAAATCATATATATTCATTATATGATAAATCTGAACGTGATATTAAACTTCTTACATTAATGAGTAATGTTAGTCGTGTTGGTGGTAGTCTGTTTAAATTTATCCATGCTATTGATAATTACATGGATAAATATCGTGAAACAAAACCTAAGAAAGATCGTTTACTTTCTATTGAAAATGATTATGAAATAAATCTTACAGAATTAAATCGATTAGAAAATCATATTGAAAAATCGACAAATATATTAGATGATTTTCGAAAACGATTTGATATTGCAATGGAAGATAAAATTAAATTCCAAGAAGAAACAGATATTGCTATACGTCGTCGTCTAGCAGCAGAAAAACTTTTATTTGGTTTTAATAGTGAAACACTCAGATGGAAAGATGAAGTTAATCATATGAAAGAATATGAAAATGAATTAATAGGAAATTGTTTATTATCTAGTGCATTTCTTGCCTATTGTAGTCCATTTACATATGAAATTCGTCAAGATTTAATATATAATCAATGGAAAAAAAGTTTAAATGAAAAGACGATTTCAATAACAGAAAATTTTCAAATACAAAATTTTCTTTCATCAAATGTTGAAATATCTGAATGGACATCACAAGGTTTACCAGCTGATGAATTTTCTATACAAAATGGAATTCTTACTTTATATACAAATCGTTTTCCTTTTTGTATTGATCCACAATTACAAGGTTTATTATGGATTAAACAACGAGAAAAGAAAACGAATTTAAAAATTTTATCAATGAGAGATAGAGATTTTTTAAAACATTTTGAATTAGCAATTAAATATGGGTAAATCTATTTGAAATGAATTATTATGTTCATTTACTATTGATATTTATTTAGATATCCAGTTCTTTTCAAAGATGTTGATGAATATATCGATCCGATAATCTTAGATATATTATCTAAAAATTTTCAAGGTGATTCAACTCATCAATATATTAAATTAGGTGATAAAAATATAGATATTGATCGAAATTTTCGCATGTATTTAACATGTCGTTTATCTAATCCAAAATTATCTACTCTACATTTTTCTTATTCAAAAGTAATTAATTATACAGTTACATTAAAAGGTCTTGAAGAACAATTATTATCTTCTTTGGTTAAAATTGAAAGACGTGAATTAGAAGAAATGCGTGAAACATTAATTCAAGAAATATTCGAAAATAAACAACAACAAAAATTACTTGAAGATTCACTTTTAAGAGAATTAACAACAACAACTGGGTTCGTAATCTAGACATGAATTGACTTATAATCTACGTAAAAGATCGTATTTCTTAAGCGCAAATAGTACGGTATTAACCCATTCCTAAAAATGCCGTATCCCCCTACGGCAAAAGTTGGAATGAAACTTAAATCCGGGGCAAAAATCTTATGCAGAAGGGCAAGTTAAGTGAGCTCCAAATTTACAGTTTACGAGTTTCAAGTTTTTCGGCAAATTGTAGCTTGTAACTGTGGACTTTTCTTCTTGAGCATCACCAGTCAATTTTGTACAGTTCAGAGTATCTATAGAGCAACTAAAAACAAATGATTACAGTTTTCGCGAAAACGTAAACTCCAAATTTGGAGTACACTTAACTTGGCCTATGCAGAGCTATAATCACGTCAACCCATCATGGGTTCTAGGTGGACATACACCAAACTCAAACTCCCAAACGGTTGCATGTCTAGTCCTATAGATAGGACTCTATTTGAGTATTTGTCTTTTTTACTTTAATGAAATCTTTAATTTATTTTAGAAATATTTTGGATAATAATGAATTAATTGAAACATTAGAAAATACGAAAACAAAAGTTAGTGAAGTCATACAAGCATTAAATTTAGGTGAAAGAACTCGACAAGATATTGAAAAACTACGTGATACATATCGTTTAGCTGCTAGACGTGGTGCTGTACTTTATTTTTCATTAGTTCAAATGTCAACAATTAATTCTATGGTTTGTTATAAAAAAAACTAAAACTTATCTTTCGAAATTTATTCATTTTTTGTAGTATCAATATTCATTAAATTCGTTTCTCTCAGTCTTTGAATATAGTGTAAAAAGTGCTCAAACAAATTTTAAATTAGAGAAACGTTTACAATCAATAGTAAATACATTAACATATCAAATCTATTGTTATGGTACAATCGGAATGTTTGAAAAACATAAATTACTTTATTCATTTTTATTAACTATTCAAATTGAATTAGATAAACAGATTATAAATTATAATCAAATAGATTTTTTTCTTAAAGGCAATTTATCATTAGATAAATCATCGAAACCGTTATTTAATTGGTTAACTTATGAAACATGGCATCATTGTTCATATCTTTCAAAACAATTTCCTGAAAAATTTCAAAATTTAATTCTAAATATTGAAGAAAATCCTATTGAATGGAAACAATGGGCCGAACATGATCAACTCGAAAATATTGCTTTACCAAAATCATTTGATACATTATTAAATGATTTTGAAAAATTAATGTTAATAAGATGTTTTAGTCCAAATAGAATTATTTTTGCAATTAATAAATATATAACAAAAATAATGGGAAAAAAATATATTATTCCACCAACAGTTTATTTCGATTCGATTTTTGAACAATCAACAGCTCAAATACCAGTTATTTTTATACTTTCACCTGGATCAGATCCGACAAATGACATTCAAAAATTAGCAGAAAGAAAAAATCAAATTCGAAAGATACCGACAGAAAATGGACTTACTAATGAAGAACAAAAAACTATACGAACACTTGCTATGGGTCAAGGACAAGAAAAATTAGCATTACAAGTATTACATACAGCACAACATCAAGGAACTTGGTTATTATTACAAAACTGTCATCTACTTTTGCCATTTTTAAACGAACTGGAAAAAGAATTAGAAATGTCAACGAAACCACATGTAAGTTCATTCCTTAACCCACACCCATACCCGACTAAATTGTATATCTTTTTCTTATAGCCCGATTTTCGTCTTTGGATGACTACTGAACCAATTGAAAAATTTCCAAGTGAGTCTGTTTTTATAATTTCAAAAATATATTCATTCTTTTTTTTATTCTATAGTCGGACTTCTACAAAAATCATATAAAGTAGTTATAGAACCTCCATCGACGCTTAAATTAAATTTACGTTCAATATTTGTTAATTTAAATATTCAAATATTCAGCGATTCTGATCATCCAGCATATCCTGGTATGATATTTATTCTTGCTTTCTTTCATGCAATTATACTTGATCGAAGAAAATATAATAAAATTGGTTGGTCATGTACCTATGATTTCAATGAATCAGATTGTAAATTATTTGATACATATGTATACATTAATATTTAATGTGTTTTTGTTTTAAGTTCGTGTTTCAGTCGATATTTTAAAACATTATCTAAATATGAATTTAGAACATGGTAATCTTGATATTCAATGGTCAACATTACGATATTTAATTGGAGAAGGTATATTTCATTTGTATAATTTTCTTATTGATATTATTTCGTTTTTTCTCAAATAGTTATGTATGGTGGTCGTGTTATTGATTCGTATGATCGACGAATTATTCGTACTTATATGAAAGAATATTTTGGTGATTTTGTCTTTGATTCAATTCAACAGTTTCATTTTTTTATTGATATAACAACTAAACCATTGAAATATGATTATTTCATTCCTGAAATACGTGATTTTCTATCTGCAAAACAACGATGGTTATTAAAGGAAGCAAATATATCAGTATAGATTCTTTTATTTCAATTTAATTCATTTCTTTCAGTTTCGGTTTTTTTAGATCGAACCACAAATTGAATATAATTTTGAAAAATTATTACCAAATAAAATCTCTGATCTTCTTCAACATAATATGGAACAATCAAATTCTCCTATAAAACAAATCGATTATAGATTTCTATCGAAAAATGTTCTTTTCAATCAATTCTTTCATTATTCAATTTTTCGTGATTTTTATTTAACTTATATCGATCAATTACCACTTTATAATCCACCTGATGTACTCGGATTACATCCTAATGCAGAAATTAATTATTTAACTAAGACAGCCCATGAAATTTATTCAAATATGATTATGATCCAACCAGAACAATACGATATCGATTATGGTTCAAATAGAGAACGTAAGATAAATGAAAAATCTCCACTTCATTTTTATATCAAGCTGGAATTCTATAGTATCTTTCACTGGGTGTTGGTGTGGGTGAGGGTGCTGATGGTTGTACGGTAGTCATCTACACCCACACCCACACCTTCAACTAATTTTAACTGTAATACTAATAATAATGATCTTTGATTTATTTAAGAATTAATTCTATCACTAATCGATGATATTCTTCAACAAATTCCACCAAAGAAAGATTTTAATTTGTTAAGACAAAAATTTCAACAACGTGTAACACCATTAACAATTGTTCTTTTACAAGAAATTCAACGATTTAATTTACTTACATCTGTTATGTGGAAATCTATGAATGAATTAAAACAAGCATTAAATGGTCAAATTAATTTTTCAATTCAACTTGATGAAATTAATAAAGATTTATATCATGGACAAATACCTACATTATGGAAATCATATACACCACAAACAAAAAAATCACTTGCAAATTGGATCGAACAATTTCGACAACGAAATCAACAATATGATAGATGGATACAGGATGGTAAAAATTATTTCTTTAATCTATAATGTATCAAATCTTGTTTTAGGTGAATTAAAAGTTATTAATCTAAGTGGTTTACATGTACCTGAATCTTATTTAGCTGCAATTATGCAAATAGCAGCACGAAAAAATCAATGGTCTCTAGATCGAACAACATTCTATACACATGTAACAAAATGGCAAAATATTAGTTAGATTAAATTTTTATATTTCAAAATAAAATAAAATTTTTTAGATGATATCGATGAACCTATACAAAATATATGTTTAATCGAAGGTTTATATTTAGAAGGTGCTCGATGGGATATAGAAAATAATTGCTTAATCGAACAAACAAATAAACAACTTATTCAAATGATGCCATTGATTAAAATTATACCAATTGAAACATATCGAATTAATAGGAATAATTATTTAGCAACACCAGTTTATATAACAAGTGATCGTCGAAATGCTATGGGAATAGGTTTTGTTTTTGAAGCTAGTCTCTATACAAAAAAAGATCTTTCACATTGGATACTGAATGGTGTTTGTTTACTATTAAATACAGATTCATAATATTTAATCAAATTAAACTCATTAGAATTTCATTTTAAAAATAAATATTGTATTTGTTATTGACTTCTCAGATAAGAAAGAAAACCGCTATTCATCTGAGTCCTATCTCCAGATCTTTCGGAACTGATTTCAATAGGACTCTTCATTGTGCACAGGATGATTGAATCACAATTGAATTTCATATTATATTATTTGTAGTCCGTAGAATTTTTTACATTTCAGACAACTATTGTGGTTGTTAGTAGTTCCTCCAATTGTATCGTATACTCAGATATAGTTTTGTTCGTTGACCGGAAGTAGACGTAAGAAATATATAATGATTTTAACAGCAACTTTAAATTTCATTTCATTAAAATTTTATTTGAATTTTAAATGTATGTATAACGCGTTTCGATATGTCAAATATCATTATCAAGACACGTGAAACACGAGAAAACAAAAAATTATTTTATATGTATATATATAAGTACATGAGTCATGAGAATTTACTGTTTTTTTCCTTCAAGAAAGAAGGAGAAAACACCACTATTAACTGTAAATAGTTAAATATGCGCATATTTAACTATTATCCCAGCCCGTGGTCTATCATGGATCACTGTTTTGATCTTAACTGTTGGTTTAGAATACTGCATGCCATCGGAGAAGATAACAAGGGGGCAGAGGAAATCGTTCGGTTTAAATTGGGTTTTTGATGTAGAATTTGCAACAATTTTCGGATTAGCAAATGATCTTCCAGTTTTGTCAATCAATGGTGTGGTTCACGTCTAACTGATGTTTGTATAATGCTGATTTCATTAGTTGTTCTTCATTAGCAACTTTAGGTTCATCATTCCCAATTTCCTTATTAATTAAGTAATTCACTTTGGGTTTCTTTTGAAGACGATCAGATCGTCTTAACTGAGGATCAATTGGTGTTTGAGTGATTAATTTGGGTGAGGGTGGTGGCTTTGGTTTTTGTGGTGCACCATGCTCGTGGTGACGTCTTAAAGCTTGTCTATTTGTTTTTCCTATGTAACTGTCTTTACATTCAGAGCATGATATTAGATAAACAATATTCCATTGACTATCTTTCTCTGTTTGATCTTTTTGTGGAAAGAACTTTGTTATTGGTGGTGGAGGTCTGGGGTGGGTGGGTGTGGGTAGAATACAAATAAAAGCGCCGACTCCCACCCATCTCTTTAGCCTCACCAACACCTTCACCCATACTCACGCCCACACCCACCACACCCACACCCTTTAGAAGACGATTGAGACAATGAAAGCAAAAATTTGAATCTAATGAACAAACAAACAAGCAATTGAAGTGGATTAATTGGATATTAGCAACACGCATATAATAACACTATATTGATATCTAATAATCATTGAATAACATAAATAAAAATTAAAACGACATTTTCGATCGTTTATTTGATCTGTCAGTTGATTGAGAATCTTGTAACATGCCATCTAGAGAAAAAATAATATAGATCAACCCAGGTCGAACAATCCGGCACGGAAACGGCCGGTTCCGTAGTATTCCAGAGATTTCATGAAAGCAGTATTCCCGTTGAACGTATCTATCAAAAATCGTGTTGCGTTGAATATGTAAATTTAATGTGAGATGTAAAGCATTGCAAAATAAGACAAAAATTTTATTTAATGTGAAAAACTGTAAATTTTGATTGATAATATAAGGATGACAACTATCATATCGACG